TTTTTTAAAGGCTTTGGGGCATGGTTTTTGTGGATCTCCTGCATAAAACAGGCTTGAAAGTAGGAGTGGCATCCACTTGCAAGAAAAAGCTTGCCTCTGGAAACTATTAACTTGGATCAAAGATGAAAGTTTTGTTTTCAAGACTTTTGTTCATAGGGTCACTATGAGTCATATACAACTCTATGGCACTTAACAACAACCCTTTATAATGTTCTGACTTATTGGGAGCACTGCCTCAGGACTGGTCTCTGCACTTAGAAAAATAATTTCTTTCCCCAAATGTCACATAAATAGTGAACGATTTACTTGATGCACAATTTCTTCACAAGTAAGACTTTTCTAAGCTAGAAAATGTGATCAGTTTGTTAGAGACGGAAACAATATGCACAAAAAAGATCAGAAGTGGAATCTATGAACTACAATCTATACTTATTTTACTGAAAATCACTGATAAAATGTTATCACTTATTAAGTGTATTAATTCTTCACACATAATTTTAGCTATATAGAAGTTATTCATTTCTGTGTTACCAAAGAGATATGCTACAACAAAGATAATATGCTACAACTGCATCAAACTAAGGAATAAGTTTAAGTAAATCCCCCAAGTTTATATTGTAAGGGAACACAAACACTTCAGTCTGGCTTCTTACTCTGTCCTAGTGTGGACCCTCACTGAACCCTGTCCACCATGGGTGACCTTGCTGGTATCTTGAAGTACTGGTGGCTGAGCTTCCTGCATCACAGCAACATGCAAACCACCACAGTAAGGCCAGGGAATGTGAGCTTGCAGGCTGGCCATGACAGACAAGCAGCAAGGTAGATCAAACACTTCTGCAGTAACAGGCCCTCAAACACCCTATGGATAACGAAGAATACTGTGAGATACAATGCAGGAAGAAGAGCTTCTCAGGATGTACTGTTGTCATTGTGTGTCAAGTCAGAACCAATTCATAGCTGACACTCAAGTGGGTTTTCAGACTGTAAATAATTTGACTTCTTTTCCAATCTGGACACATTTTATTCCTTTTTCTAAGACTTGTTGTTAGGTACTATCAAGTCAACTAGAACTCACAGTAACCCTATGAACAACAAATCTAAATCTTGTCCTATTCTGTGTCATTCTCAGCCCATTGTTACAGTCACCATGTCAATCCATCTTGGTAAGGGTCTTACTCTTTCACTGACATCACCTTTCCTAGCATGATTCCTTTTTCCGTTTTGTTAAAGATCTTTCTCTCCTCCACCCTTCCGAGCATAATGTCATTTCCCAATGACTGGGTCCTCTTGATTACACACCCAAATCATGTGAGACCAATTTTCACCATCTCTGCCTCTAAGGAACACCATAGTTGCAGTTCCTCCAAGACAGACTTGTTCGTTCTTTTGGCAGTTGGTGAGACATTTTTTTAATAAGGTCTTTTGTCCTCCTTATTCATTCTCAAACTTTCAGATGCACAGGAAGTAACTGAAAAGACCCCAGCTTGGATCAGGTGACACTTGCTCTTTAGCACTTTTTAGGTGCTTGACAACAGATTTTTCCCAATGCAATTCATTTTTTGATTTCTTGCCTGCTGATACCATGGATGTTGACTGTGGATCTATTAATACTGAAGTGGTGAGAAGGAGTACGTTTGCATTTCCCAGACCCCAAAACAAACAAACAAACAAACAAACAGGCCCAAGAAAAAATCTTCTAAGCCTTTCTCCATTAAGTAGAATGTTGACTCTTCGCTTTTCATATATTCCCTCTATCACACTGAGGAATATCTTTTCTATTTCATGCTCTCTATCACATTGAGGAACATATTTTCTATTTCAATCATTTTGATGATTTTTATCAAGGAGGATTTGTATTTTATCAAATGTTTTTATATATCCAGAGATGATCACATGGTCCTTTTCCTTTGTCAAGTAAAATCCTTGCTGTTGTTGGAGAAGGAGAAGAAAGAAGAGATATCCCCTTACGGTAATGAATAATAGCCAGGCATTAGCTAAATTATAAACTTTTTAATCTACCATTAATTAACTCACAAGGAGTCTCTGAGGAGTTCTTCTTTGTGAGACTTGGAGATGAAAAAGATCCTGCACTTCAACAAGTATCAGTTTAGAGAGGAGTCAGGCATGCAGAGAGTGATGAGATGAACTATAATTATAATGCATTGTATCAAATCGTTGCTAGAACCTTCCATTAAAGCCTGTTGTGTGAGTCACTTCTGCATGTTTAGGCTAGATACTTACTTGTTGTGGACAGTCCTTTACTCAAGACAATCATTAAGAAACCATGGTCTATTTTCAGATTCATAACACCCAGATGTGTCATCTCAAGTATATTACTTAATTCCTCTGGGCATTACTATTCAATTATTCAATTGGAAGATTTGAGTTAAAGTTCCTTCCAGGCTTACCACATCCCCTTTCTCTTGACACAGCTTCCTTTCACCATCCAAGTGTCAAGAATCAAGGGAAATGTGGCCACATTGAGTTTCATTTTAAGCTTTTCCTCCTTCCTTCTTTCCTTCCTACCTTTCCCTTCTCTCACATGCCATACAGTGAGAAGACTCATAAATGTGATCTGAAAGGCAGGAGCAGTGCCACTATCTCCATTGAAGCTGAACTGGTAGAAATGTAATTGTGGGGAAACAACACTCTGTTACAGCCCTGCCACCCCTTACTGTGTGTATATATATAATACTTTGTCCTTCATATGTGAAAGATCCAGTGTTGGAATTCTTTGGTGTAAATAAACGTTTGGTTTCATTTATCGAGAAAAAAAAAAAAAAAGAATCATTCTGTCCTAACCCTCCAAGTCAATCACTAGCCCCAATCACTTCCATCTCAACATTGCACTACTCCCACCCCAGGGCACAGAATGCCAAGTCATGGAAAAGGCAGAAGTCAAGGAGACCTGGCTCCAGACTTACTGTGTGGCTCTAATCATCTTAAGAACTTTGATTTATTCATCTTGTCTATTTCAGTTCTCCTTCTTCACATTATGCTTCAATGATCTTACTCTTTATTACATATTGTTTTTACAATTCTTTTCCTCTACTCAGAAACTCAGAACAGCAATCACATTCATTGTAAACTCCAGGCTTAATATTCTAACCCTACCTTGACAACACCTTACTGTTGCCCCGCTTGCTTCCAGACATGAACTCCTTTTTAGTGCTACTAGTTTCTTCAGCAAAGGTCATTGTGGCACCCCAGTAGTTTCTCAATCTTCCTCCTTCAGTCTAGACCAATTGCACACACCCTTCATTTCCACCTCTAAGTTTTCCCTGACTTTTTTTCTTGAAAAGTTCTGTCTTCTGGCTAGTTTTAATAAGCAGTTTTCTTTCTCTCAAATCCAGTTAACCTTCAACGAGATGGAAAAGGCAATCTCCAATTTCGTATGGAATGGAAAAAAGCCCCGAATAAGCACTCCTTAAGAATAGAAGAACGGTAGGAGGTATCTCACT